TTTTTCATCACTTTCATTCTTTGATTTCAAAAATTTTATATAAAGTTTTTTCTTTCTTTTAGACAATTTTATAAGATTACTCGTCATCCATGGATTTTTTAACTCTTTATTTTTTACTTCAGATGTTATTATTGGACAGACAGTATCAAAAATACATTTAAAAGTAGCCGTAAAGTTATTAAATGCCTGATTTTGATTCTTAGCTGAGTATACAGTTTTGCAGGACTCCTCAAATAGTTAATTTTTTAAATTATTATTATCAAGATTTTTTTTAGTGAGGTTTCTTTTAGTGACAAGACATTATTTTATTATTACTATTAGATACACTCTTTAAAAAGTTCCGGTAAAATTTACACGAACTGTTCAGGCGATTTTTTACGCCTGAAACTTCAGGCGAAACAACTGAATGTTCGATCGATGCGTTCTGACGATGTCTTTTGCCTGAACAGTTCAGGATTAGTTTAGATAAACAGTTACAGTTAATATAAATTATTCCTGAACTTTAGACAAACTGCACGAACCTGTAAAAACCGGAACTTTTAATTTTAACTTTTTGCTTTTTAAAAGAATGTGCTCGGTAATGTTAAAAAATTTAAACATTCATGAGTTGATTAATCATTTGATTTCAAAAGGAATTTCTGTGGAAACAACTGCTAAATTGTCAAGTAAGTATTTACTACATAAAAATTTAGTTTTAAACATTAATGCATAAAACTATATATGCATAGATATATAAGTTATATATCTATGCATAAAACAAATTTAACTAGTTGAAATAACTTTAAAAAATGTTATCTTTCATAAACTTACTGTTTAAAGGTGAAGATATTGACGGAGATGCATTTTTGCAAATGAACTCTGTTTTGTTTCATTGTATTGGAATAAAAATGGGTAAAGCTATAAAGCTTCAGTCTATCATTGCAGCAGAAAAGGTGAATTTAATATTATAATGTACTTTTTTTTTAGAATGTCAATGTGTTGTTACCTTTACCCCAAAGATTTTTCAACTGTTGCTTTTCACATAAATCACTTGAGGAACTTTCATCTTTTGTTTGAGCCTTGTCAACTTCGTTGTAATGTTGATGGTTGTATAAGATTGTTTACTACATACAATATGCTTAGAAAACATATAAATAAAGATCATGCCAGTTTTGTAGTTAATATTGCTCGAACATTTAGCATAAGTTGTGAAAATCCAGTAACACCTACTTCTGAAGCTAAAAGTGAAAGTAAAATAGACAAAGAATGTGAGATAAAAATTGATGACGTGCCTCACCTATTGTTGATGAGTATGGCATATCACAAGCAGCATTAAAATTTATTATGGCTTTAATGTCTTCGAGTTCTATTCCTCTAAGTACTTCAGAGTTTGTTTAGAGTTGTTCACAAAACCTAATTGAAGACATACTTAGTTATTTACTATGTAAAACAATTGCTATACTGAAAACATATAGGTGTGAGAAACATGTAATTGACAATTTAGCTATGTTTAGAGTTTAACAGATGGAAAATACCTTTTAGTGGAATTGATTCACAACATCGAATATTATCATATTTGAAAAATAAAGGCCTATATATTGAACCAGTACCACATTCAATGGGTGAACGATGGGATACAAAACGTGACAGAAAGACTAAAAGGCAAATGCAAGTCAAAGTAAAAAATTTGTTTTATTACATACCTATTGAAAGCACAATGAAGCTAGTGTTGCGACAGCCAGAAGCCGTGAAAATGTTAAAAGTGGAGCAAATATCTAATTTAGAATTTGTTGAAGATCGGTTTTGTAGTGAAAATAGAAAAAAATTAATGGCATATGCCAAATTTAAATTTCCGAAAAGTTTCCCTTTGTTTATTCAAATATACTTCGATGAAGTAGAGACCACAAATTCTCTTGGATCAAAAACAGGCATTCATAAACTTGGTGCCTTTTATTTTGTGATAAAGAACTTTCCTCATGCGGCAAACTCAGCCTTGAACAACATTCATATGTTAGCATTAACTCACGCAATAGACATAAAGAAATATTCAGCAGAACCAGTGATAAAAGTGATTGTAAATGAATTGCAAAAACTTCATGACGAAGGACTTGATATTTTTATTGAAGGCAAAAAAACTAACTTTAGATGTTTACTAACCCAAATTGTTGGAGACAATTTAGGTCTGCACTCTATATTAGGATATATGGAAAATTTTAGTACTGTTTCTTTTCCATGTGACATGTGCATGATATCACAAGTTGACATACAGCATGTTTTTAAAGAAGAAAAACAAGCTCTCAGAACAGACATTTTATACAACTCTCAAGTTCATCAGATGCAAAGAGGCAAAATTTCTAATAAGAACTGTGGCATTAAGCGGTTTACTTGTTTAACTGAATTGCCATATTATCATCCTGCTTCGAATGATTCTGCAGACATAATGCATGATATTTTTAAAGGAGTTATTCCGTGCGAAGTTAAATTGTTTCTTTACCATGTGTTGTATGATGTCAAATGTATCTCCATTACAGAACTGAATAGGCAAATCAAGTTTATGGATTATGGTATTGTCTGCAGCTCAAAACCTAGTACTATTAATGAGTCGCGTATGAAAAGTACTGATTCTTTACTAGGTCAACGCTCTGCTCAGATGCATACACAGTTTATGTATTTGCCACTTATTTTGTCTGATGTTATTGATAATGCAGATACACAAAAGTAAAAACTTTACCAAATTTTAAAGCAATTGTGTGATATAATCTAATCTCCAAATTTAAATTGTTTACAAGTCACGTATATTTAGTAATGGAACATCATTCATTGATGAAAGAATGTTATCCTGAGAAAAAATTTCTTTATTAGCATCACCGAATGATTCATTATGGAACTATTATAAAACGAAGTGGGCCTCTTCTTCACATGATTGTTATAAGGTATGAAGCCAAGCATAATTTTTCAAAAAGATTAGCTCATATTGTTTGCAATTTTCAGAACATTTCTTATTCAATTGCAAAAAGAAATCAAATTGCTCATGCTTTAGCGTGGATGACTCATGGTCCCCTAAAAATCATCACTGATGTAAAAAATAGTGCAATGTTTTTAGTTTCAGAATTAAAGAACAAAAATCTTATTATTCCCTTTATTGGTGAAGAAAGTGAGGTTTTAGCTGTTGATTGTGTTACCGTTTTGGGTCAGAAATTCAGATCAAGTGAAACAATTCTTTATGATTTTGGTGAACCAAGTTTTGCTCACATTGACCAGATTTTTGTTCCTTGCGAAGTTTTCTATGTATAAGAACATGTGATATAATAGATTACAAACCTCTTAATGCAGTGCGTTGTTTGAAAATAAATTGCCCATTCATGCACATTATCTTGAATCATCAACTATGTCATGATAACTTTCTATACCTGCCCCACGAAATATCTGGCGATATTGTAAATATTTATTATATGTAACTCAATATTTTATGATAAATTCGGTTGTAAAAATAATCTTTTTATTATAGATATAGTTACATACTGTATATATATATATATATATATATATATATATATATATATATATATATATATATATATATATATATATATATATATATATATATATATATATATATATATATATATATATATATATATATATATATTTATATATATATATATATATATATATATATATATATATATATATATATATATATATATATATATATATACACACACACACAATATATATATATATATATATATATATATATATATATATATATATATATATATATATATATATATATATATATATATATATATATATATATATATATATATATATATATATATATATATATATATATATATATATATATATATATATATATATATATATATATATATATATATATATATATATTAGGGCTGTTCAGTATGCTAATTTGTTTTCAGAACATAGCTAATTGAAGTTTTTCCCATTCAACTATCATATTGTGTATTGTGGTTCAAAAAGATTTTTTACTAAATTTTATTATTTGCCCTAAAGGTCCCTCAAAGCCACTAAACATTTGACAGGTCCCTAATATTATTAAAAAAAAAATTATTTAAAAATATGTCAACTTGGTACTCAAAAAAAGCAAATTTTTATAAAAATTTTAAAAACTAGATTCATTTTTTATAAAAATCAACTTAAAAAAATTTATCATTAAAAATGTTGTGAATATTACCTTTTTTTCATTTTTCGTTTAAAAACCATAGTTTTTATTCAAAAAAACCTGATATTGTTTTTTTTATAAAAAATACTTTTTGTTTTTGAAATTTTTAAATGATTTTGCTTCTTTTGAGTACCAAGTTGACATATTTTTAAATAATTTTTTTTTCTATAATATTAGGGACCTGTCAAATGTTTAGGGGCTTTGAGGGACCTTCAGGGCAAATAATAAAACTTAGTAAAAAATATTTTTGAACCACAATATGATAGTTGAATGGGAAAAACTTCAATTAGCTAAGTTCTGAAAACAAATTAGCATACTGAACAGCTTAAATATATATATATATATATATATATATATATATATATATATATATATATATATATATATATATACATATATATATATATATATATATATATATATATATATATATATATATATATATATATATATATATATATATATATATATATATATATATATATATATATATATATATATATATATATATATATATATATATATATATATATATATATATATATATATATATATATATATATATATATATATATATATATATATATATATAAAGATATATATAGCTATTTTTAAGAACAATGAAAGTATAGCAATATGTAAGTTTAGATAAATTGAATTGAATTATCTTTTGTGTTTTAGGAACAATGCACAGATTTTGTGCAGACAGAGTGTTTACAAACTGATTTCACTGTTGAAAATAATCTTGTTTCACCTTATCAGACTAGTTCTAGTACTAGTTTATCAACTTCCAATCCCTTTCCAGATTCAACACGTTCACGTGATAGCGATGTTCTTCATACTCCATATCCAGTACTTAGAATAAACAATATCAAATTTGTAAATTTTTTAACATATATAGCTGTATTGCAAAACTATAAGGACTGATTTTAATTTCTAAAAATATATTTCAAAAATTTCTACTTTTTTAGGATGTTCGAAAACTGCTTGATGAGCATCAGACAGGTAAACGTGTCATTGTTGAATATGAGACAACTGGAATGTTAATAAAGTACAGATTTGAAATGGTTCATATCCTTGTTAACATTATGGTAAATAAAGTTGGAAACATGTAAGTTATTACATTGATTTTATATTGATTATAGATTTTACAGTTTGTTCATTTCTGAATATTCAAATGCATAGTTATTAAGTTTTTTAGAACACTTTTTTATAATAATAATATTATATAAAGGCATGAACAGAACATGTAAATGTTAAGTTAATGATTCATGTAACCATGTAGAAAGTCTATTTATTTAACTTACCTATAACATTTGTTAAATATTGTGGTTATTAAATTATTAGGTATTTACTTTAGGTATCCATCAAGAGCAACAAAAACAAATCTTGCTATGTCAATTATTAATGCTTTTCCTAAACTGCACTCTGGTGGACCTCTAGGATATGTTTGTTATTTAACTTTGTTAACTAAAAGTAATTTGTTTGTTTGCTGTTTAAACTGAATTATATTTAATTAAATATTTAGGAAAATTACTATTACGCTTATAAGGAAGTTGAAGTAAATGGCTAAAAAAAGAAAATAACACCTCATGGACATATCGAGGAGCGGCTGAAAACAATTAGGAAGTTTGATGGTGTCCATGCCCAAGCTACACGAAAACGAAAATCCGTTTCTCAAACAACTTTTGATGTTGCAGGTAAGCTAAATGATATTGTAAGTCACGTTTATATATACAACAAAAGATGCTTAACTATTTTTTTCAGTTCCTTTTTCAAATGAAGAACGAAACATTATAAGTGAGTTGTCATTTGATGACATTCAGTATGATCAAAAACAATATATTCTTGAAAAAACTAGAGTATCGCGAAGAAACTGGATTCTGTCATCAAAACCACCTTTTCATGAATTTATTCGGAAATTTCCCCCATTTAAAGATTTAGGATTTGATGTAAGCAGTACTGTCTTTTACATTTGTAGTGTATATCCTTATATCTTGAATTACTGCTGGAATATTGGAGTATTACTATTAATATTATATTATATTAGTATTAAGTATAATACTGTATTAGTATAATACTGGAGTATTACTAGTGTAAAATTGATTTTCTGTTTGAAAAACATTTCATGACTCTTTATAATCATTATATTAGTTTCAAAGAGAGTTTAAAGCAACATTTGAAAATGCTAAAGATTTGCTTACGCAATGGGAGGATATGGCTCCTCATGTTATTACTTGGGCTCGTAGAAAGGAGAATCCGATGGCAAAGCAACTACTTTTACATCTTGACAGCCAGCTAATACCTGCAAATCGTATGTCCCATTGTCTTCTTTAATTACTGTTTTCTTTTTTTTTTTAACTTTTATTAACTATTAAAACTATTATACTATTCTAAAATATGTATATGTATTGTTTGAGTTTTTAAATATTTTTTGAAAACCAAAGATCAATATATGGAGTTTGCATTTCACTTGCTTCCATACATTCTTCAAGTGCCTCCTAGAAATAAGGATCGACCGTCTACAGCTGAAGTTGCAGCTCACTTTATTCAAATCTTTCCTGTAAGTTTAATATTTTCTAGCTAAATGATATGTGCTATAAACTAGGTCAATAATATAAAATAGGTCAAGGACACCAGCTTGTATATTGTATCTTAATTATTTTTATTTTTATAAAGGAAATTACAGCTATGAAGACGATAATTGATGCAAATAGACATACCTCTTTCATGCATCCATTTGTTATTGTACTAGGGGCTCGAGGCAATTTGATTCAGTCATTTATTTTTATAGAAAACAATGTTATTCCTATTAGAAATGGCATGTTAAGTGCAGTCGACCGTTTGCTGAAACTATATTTTGTAATCGATATTAAATATGCGAAAGAGTGCAAACATGTTTTACATTTTTTGCAATGTGTAGTTATGGGTATTCATGACGATTTGCCGTTGTCAAGAGGAGGCAGTGATCTTTCGTTGTTTGTTAATGAAAAACTAAGGAGTGGATAAACTTTTAAATGTTTTTATTTTAAAGGGTACGAAAATATATTATATCAAGAAAATATCACGTACTTTATAAACAATCATGTTTGTAATTCTGTTGAAACTTATAATGTAAATTATAAAATTATTTAATTGAATAAACATGAGCTTTTTTTTTTAATTGATATTTGCGTTACTGCAATGAACTTAGGGAGAAAAAAATTTATTTTGAATAAACCAAATTATATTCTTTTACATTTTGATTATATATTGGAAATTTTTTAAATATTTATATAGAATTCTTTGTTTGAAAAAAAAGTTTTTTTCAAACAAAGAATTCTATATAAATATTTAATCTACCAGAACTTTCTCATTATAGGCTACTTTCTAACATGTTTAATTTTTTTTTGTAAAAACCAGTTTGGGTTCAGATTTTGTACCACGCCAGTTCAGGTTTTTTTTTAAGAACAGTTCAGGTTTAGGTGAATTGCCTGAATGTTCGTCTGGCACTTTTTGAAACAAACTAGATCAGGCGAAACGCCTAAAGTTCGTATAGTTTACCGGAACTTTTTCCTGAACTATAGTTCAGGTTATCTAACGCGGTTGTTCAGGTTTTTTTAACGAACAGTTCAGGTTCAGGTGAATTACCTGAATATTTGTCTGGCACTTTTTGAAACAAACTAGTTCAGGCGAAACGCCTGAAAGTTCGTATAATCTACCGGAACTTTTTTAAGAGTGTAGAATACCACGTGCAATGTGAAAAATGGGGAAATGATCAGAAAAATCAGCAATTAAAATACCAGATTCAAAATTAAAATTATAAGAAGTGCTATTAAACTTACCGGTATTTTAAAAAACCGGTAATTCAGTAAAAAAAAAAATTATTACAGGGTTACCGGTAACATACAGGTTTTTTTGTCTAAAGACTTAAATAGTAATAATCTAAACACTGAAAACAACAAAAAGCATCATCCTAGATAAAAATAAATTAATTAAACAATCATAAAGATTTTTTTTATATAATAAAATATAATTAATTCATTTATTATACATTAACATTTTTGTATTTTAGCGTAAACATAAACATAAAGAAAACTTCATTTTTAAAATAAAAATAATTAATATAGTCAATTCTTTTCAAAGAGCATAAATTGTTTATTGAAGTAAGCTCTTAAAAAACACATTACATTTCATGTTTCGTCGTTTAAACTTGTTCTGTACTTTGTGCCAGTTAAACCTGCTGGAGAAAAAGCTCTTTCCGACTCTACACTGGTTGGGCGAACTGCTGAAATATACTTTTGGAGTTTGTTTAAATATTTTCCTTCTAATATTTTGTTCCTTGAAATACGCCATTTCTTTCCTGACTATATTTAAAAGACCGGATGTTGTCTTCGGATCACTAATCTCTTCGAGAGCAATAGTTATCTTTTTTTTTAATTACTAAATCAAGTTTTTCCTTTATTGACATTGCTTGACTTAATGTCGCCACTGCTGATAAAACCGGTAGATTCACTAGTTGATTCAGTTTCATATACTTGCACAACTTCAGCTTCTGTAGTTTCGGAATTGTTTTTTTAAAATTGTTGAATGATTTCTACAATATTTTTTTCCACAACCAATTTACTTGTTGTATTAAACACGCCAAAATTATTTTCATTATTTAAAGCTGTACGTGGACATGGTTCATGAAGATATGAATATATATCGGTTCTTCTCTCTTTTATTCGAAATATTAAATCTTGTTTCAATTCATTACTTAAGAAATTATTTTAGTTACTTAGTTCATCGAACATGAACCTAATTGTCAAATCTGCAGCATATAGATTTGTGTCCCTTGAACAGAGAGCTTCCACAGCTACTTTAACAGGTTGCAAAGTCATTGTTATATTTGATACAACATTGAGATTTTTTTGTTTTTTTATTTGCATTCACTCCCAACAAGGCTGCATGCAACCACTATTAAGTTGGGAGTTACTAGGAAAAAAAAAGAACAGAGTTATAGGTTATAGAGCAAGGAAACGGTTGACAGAAGACTTGAAAAGCTGAAGGTTGTATGAGTCAGGAAAACATGAAGATGGGAGAGAGTTCCAAAGGATTGAAATGCGGGGAAAAAAACTAGATGAATAAAAGTTTTTAGAGCATGCAGGAACAGATACAGTAAACAAATGAGACTTAGCTGAATGACGAGTAAAACGAGAATGAATTTTAGTTGATGGAACTAGAGATGATAACTCCTTTGAGCAGTAACCATGATAGTATTTGTAGAAAAGAAAAAGAGATGCAACTTTACGACGATGGGAAAGAGGTTCAAGCTTAGCAGATAGTCCAGGTCCAACAACAATTACAATGCGTTTTTGGACCTTGTCAAGAAGAGAAAGTGAATCGTTAGAAGAACCAGCCCAAATATGACAACAGTATTCCATACAGGGACGAATAAGAGATTTGTAGAGGTAGAGAATGGAATCAGAAGTAAGGAAATGGCGAGCACGATAAAGAGAAGCAACCTTAGCAGAAGCTAATTTAGCAATCGATTGTATATATGGTTTCCATGAAAGGTCAGTAGTAAGCGATAATCCAAGAAGACGTAAAGAGGAGGACTCAGTAAGAGGATTGCCATTCATTAATATAGGAATGTTGACCATATTACGGTAGTTGTTTGCAGTAAGCAATTGGGTTTTTTTAGAGTTGAAATTCACAAGCCACTGTGAACCCCAATCTATTACTGAAACGAGATCAGATTCAAGATCAGCTGCTTGTTCTAGGCGATCGAAAAGAGAAGACTTTTTGTCAAGACAGGAATATAAAGTTGAGTCATCAGCAAAAAGAGCTACTTTAGATGAAAGGTTGTCAGGAAGATTGTTTATGTAGATAAGAAACAAAACAGGGCCCAGGATGGAACCTTGGGGAACCCCAGAAGTTACTGGAAATAAAGAAGAGTGTTGGCCTTCAAGGATGACTTTAATAAACCGGTTAGAAAGAAATGATTTGATAATCTCAAAAACTGTCCCAGAAACACCATATGAAGTATGCTTATGGAGAAGACCAGCATGCAGATCATTTTCTGATAAATCTATATCGGATTTGATATCGATTAAACTCTTACAAACACAATTTTTAATCTCATAAATTCTTTCCAACATTATCAACATACTGCTCCACCGTGTATTTGTGTCAAGGATTAGCGTAAGTTCTTTTTTAAATTCATCCTTGACATGTTTTTGGAGGATGTCATTTTTTTTTGGTGATCTACGGAACATGACAACAATTTTTCAAATTTTTGTTATTATTGGACCTATACTTTCATGTTGAATTGATGAATCAGTAGTTGATGTATCCTCAATAACGTCAAAAACCCCAACATCTTCCATTACATCTTCCTCTTCATCTTCACCATGTTCAAATTCAGTAATAGCCACTTCTTGATTTTCTAAATATTATCCGAAACAGATCTTTTATACAGCACCTTAATTACTGATAACTGGATGCCGTGGGCTAAACAAAGTTGATGATTTACGTCCAGTAATATGCCTACCTTTTTCATTACGGCGGCCTCATCCGTAGTAATGGAAATTATATTTTTTATCGCAATACTAAATTCTTTAAGTATATTTTGAAGATCCTTTAATCCTAATCAATCCAATATTCCAAAATACATTATCATACGAGTGGACATTCACATTCATAAATCTTCGATTTTTAAGAGATGTCCATTCATCGAAAGTCAAGCTGAATAATTCACCACGGGCTATTCTTTTTGAAAATTCTGAAACGATTTGTTTTCGGATTTTGTCACCGTACTGCAACACCACTTTCTTAATTGTTTTTGGAGACTGTGGGCAATCATATCCTTTGGATTTAAATAATTTCTGAAGATTGTATGATGTGCAAATCTTTTTAGACGATAAACAATCTCGTGCTGTCAGTCGTGCTAAAATAGCTGGAAATGAGTCATCAATCGTTTTAATAATGTTGAAATAATCAGAAATTTTTGATCTAGAATTTGTATAATTCGTAACGGAAGTTGTGGTATTGATATTAGAACAGCTAGCTTCTGCATCATCATGTTGAACTCTTTTTAGCAGATTAATTTAATGTTTTCTGATAAGGTTGTGCAATTAATAATAAATAAGGTTGTGTTTTCTGATAAGATTGTGCAAACTACTTGTGCTGCCGCCAGAGCATTTTTTTTTTTTTGCATACATTGCATATAGCTGAATCGCCAGCTTTCGTACGTAGAAAATGATTCCACGATTGATTTTGTCCGGATCCAGTAGACATTACAGATAAGGCTATTTTTTGAAAAAAAATTCAATATGTAAACTTTAAAACACAATACAAATATATTCTTTAATATAATTTTAAAGACTTTTTGTGAAATAGTTATTCAACACAATAAAAATATATTCGCTTTATTTTCAAAGGTATGTTTTGTGTTTATTTTCAATTTTTTTTTATAATACTTAATAATTTTATCATCCAGTGCAAAAAACCAAATAACTTAAAAAAAACTCACTGACGCACTATTTAAATTAAATAAAATGTCACCTGTACTTGTAACCACATGGGACGCGAGCACAAAATAAACTGAATGTAGTTATAAATAAACTACATAAACAAACCTAATTGTATGTAAATATTTTTCTTTCTCTATTAAAAAACGAAAATTTTAGAAAAATCAATCAAGTAGGCTGTATTTTTTTTTAGGAAATGCATATTGTAATATTGTAAGAAAGCAAAATTGAGTGGGTCAGAAGCCAAGGGGTACAAGTGATTTTACCAAATTTTACCAAAATTAAGTTAAGAATAGAATTTGATAGAAGAAACAAACAAAATTGTTGGTGGCCAAGGAATACAAGTGAATCTCTGCCCTGTGCTGCTTTCTACTGGAAAAACATCACAACAGCTGAGTATATTTAACAAAAATACTTTAAATTTAAAAAGCTGTATCTCAAAACTATGAAAATGTTTCCCTTGGTTTCTGACCCACTCAATTCTTTTCCATTATAAAGTTCTTAATTTTTGGCGATTTCAACTGTTTTTTTATAATATGTAAAAAAGTTAGCTTTTTTGTAGAATTTTTCTTTTAGTTAGAAAAAAATACTACTTATAATTTATTCAG